GGAGACTCGCCGATCAGCGACGCGGAGGGCAGGGAGCTGTACATCAACAGAACAAGCCACCAAGCAGTACTAACATACCCAACTCCTAAGCAAACCCAATCCACACTCCTCCTCCTGTTTCTGCCGCCGCCGTCGCAGCCGAACCTGGCGAAGCGGCCGATGGACGGCGGCATTGCTCGCTGCTGCCTCTCCGGTGCTGCGAAGGGAGCACAAGCAGAGGTCGAACGCTGAGCTGGGCTTTGGAGAGAGGGACGTGGAGGCCCCGGGAGCGGCCACTTGGATTGCTTCTAGCGTACGTGCAAAGCTTTAAACTGGGCACGTGGGAAGCTTCGGAGTAAGAGGTGGTGGCTGCCTCGAGAAACCAACAGCGCTCCAATCGAGGGGTGGGGATACTCGTTTTTAGCTGAAATCAAGACGGGAGGACCGTCAGCAGTTTGCAATCTCCTCCCTATTCTTTGTTTGTTTGCGATCAACGGGGGGAGTTTTCTAGAGCTGATCGATCAATCTCCGCTTTTTTTACTAGTGACTTCTTGAAGGCGCTTGGGGGATGAGTTCAACTTTCCTTTTGTAAAATTATTCTCCTCGAAAGTGAATCGTTATTCTCTGCTTACAGTTAAAAAAATGCCTTCGTGATTCTCAACATGACTTAATTGCACTTATAATAATACCATATTGTTTCCCCTACTCTATACTTACGTACCCTCAGTTGCTTTTGACGGAACTTACATAACTTGAAATATTTAAAATTTGCACATTAATACCCTCAACGAATTTCTAAATATCCTGTTATTACAGCCTTCAGTTTACCAACGACGGCAATCACTTCCGCTCGTGGCTCTCATGTGATCAGAGGATACGGATGCGGATAAATTAAAATAAAATGTACTCAAAAAAAAATCAAAACACGCACAAAACAAGTGGTAACATCAACCTGCGTCTACAACATATTTATCCCATGTTTCTAATTATTAGGCATTGCAGTATTTATACCAATCGTCTAGATCTTAAATGCGACGCTTGAACCGACAAAACCATTCCAGCACAACCTAGCGAAGTAGTAAGAGCTTCAATCTTCCATTCAATCACAACAACAAGATTCAAGGATATTGTCAAAACAACCACCAAAATCTTACAGGACTCCCTCCCTAGGGAGGGAAAGGTAGGGCGCGACCGAGACGTGAAACCGTGTAATTATCTCGTAAACAGCAAGCAAGAAACTGACTTCAGAATCAGAGGGGTGGCAGCAAGCCATAACCTTCCACGATCACCTTCTTGTTTGTACTCGTGTAGCTTTGTGTAGATCCCACGGAATGCCTCGTCTTTCCAAAACTGAACAAATTTTTTTTTGGGTGCGCGCGCTTGGCTTATCGAAACACGATAAGTACATGTGGCATCGGTCGACGATGAGAGAGGAGTGGAGAAGTAAGGAGATCAAGTTGCAGAAGAAAAGGATGATACATAGTGAGAATCTACATCCCAAGCCCTTAGACGGTAGGAGGGGACCAAAGGTGGCAGCTGGAAGTGAGGATAGCGGCCTTGAAGGAAAGTGCAGGACCAAGATACACAGCATCTCTCGTCCACTGCTTAGGCCAACACCATAACAATCGACCACGATAAGAAGAGATATCGATATCTCTGGAAATAAGTAATGATTATTTCACACTCCTCGTGAAGATGTGCTTGAGGACATATATACACACATACGTATATGTATACGCATTTGCACACTCGTACATGGATGGGCATGCATGAATACACATAGCAGAGCAAAGATTAACGCAACAAAGAGGGGGAACAACAATACAATATAAAGAATAAAAAAAGGAGCCAGATATCCCTGGTGAAGAAACCTTATTTAAGCAAGCAAGTCAAATTACAAATAAACATCAATAAACCATAATTTTGAGATTGCACGCACTGAAAAAAGGTTGATGAAGCCAACCTGCGAAAATACTTTTTGCCCAATACAACTCTGATGAGTTTGATTTATCCGGAAGCGCATCTTTCATTTGGAATGGAGTTCTACAAGTTTAAGATGTGATTTCCCACCGTCCTCTATTGTCAGTGAATATATCATGTATCCTCCAAATCTTTTTTTTTTTTTATTCTTGGTGGCGCATTCGACAATGACGCGTTCAGTGGCTCGATTTCTCCATCATCTTGTGGGCTTACGAAGATGCATGTGAAGTTCTTGATTCGCTCTTATTGGTCATTGTTCTACACTCAATACTTGTACACTCCATTAAGCAGAACCTACATCATGCTTGTTATTGTCAGAATCAGATATTAGTTCCATGAAGCATACTTAGTTTGCATGTATAGATGAACTGGCACTAACTTGTGATTTGAGAAAACGTCATTATTCTACGTTCAATGCTAGATATCGCGAAGTGCCACTACTTCTGAATATAAAATATCCTCCTGTATGATGTTTGGACTATAGCATCACATAAGAACAGGGCATCAAGCCTTGAGTTTAAACTCTACAATGGCCTTTTTAGAAAAATATGGTCTGACTTGAGTCCTACCTGCAAGGTCCATCAACTATAACCACATGATTCAGGTCAAGTAAGAATATGTTCACAATAGGAAGTGCAGACCCAGAATATGTTCACAATAGGAAGTGCAGACCCTGGCCTTAATAGGAAGCAATCAGACTCATAGATTCGAACCCATTATCCCATATTTTCTCCATGCAGGTGCAGGTTTGTGTTCTAAATATCATCTAGCACCGCTAATATTCATCAAGTTTAGAACACCTTCATCATCAGTCGATTATTAAAATAACCTACATGGTGAGTAACCGCCTGCCTCCATCTTTTTTTCCCAACAAGGCCAAGCGTTCTTTTACATGAAACCAAAGTCATTCACAATTGAGCACTCCGGAGTATCCAACAAATTGTTCGATACACCAACAAGTTAGACAATCCCAATCTCATTGTCTAATAATTTTCACATCGCTGGTTCATTTATAGAAAAACTATGTTTAGCAATAGAGATTTGGCCAGCTTACCTCAAGAACATCTCCCGCGTTCAGGACAAGAGCATTAAGTATAGGCCAAATGTGAACCAACTAATGCAGTGCCGGAGACTTGTAACACAATAATCTTGCAGAAATAGTCAAAGTGCTTAAGTCTCGAGTATCAGCTCACTCTATTAGTTTCCATCGAGTAAGTTCCAACGGCCTCTCTGCAATGAGCGCAGTGGGTTCTGAAGGCTAGTAGCTCACATTTCGGATGATTGTTGGATAAATTATGAGAGCGAATGCATACAACTAGTCCAGCTTTTATTATACATAAACTACATAGAGTTGCCCTTACCCTTGAAATGCAACCGGGTGCCAATGCCATAGACTATTCCTTTTTGTGCTGCAATGGAAGTTCAAAAAATCTGGCTGTAAAGAGTCTTCACCTCAGGTGACACTTCAGGTAATATCCCGTTATTGATTATCTACAGTGTCAGAAATTTGTCACAGTCAGCATGCTGTCCCACAATTGATTATCTACAATATTAAGAATCCACAGCCAATATTCTATCCCAAGATCAATTACCTACAATATCAAAAATTTCCTAGTCAACATTCCATCAATAACCTTAAGATTGAAAATTACATGTGTTCCACATAACACACTTGAAAGGTTTGTGAAATCCAATTTTCTAATATGCCCTTTCTGAAAAAATAGGAATACTTTTTGACAGAACTTCAGAATTAGATACTTCTTCTTTTGTATATGCTGCCTCCGAATTGTGGAATGACATACTTACAAGTTCAGAGTTGGAAAAATATTTGTTGACATCAAATTCTAAGATGTCCAGATATACAACCAGGGTTGCATACAGTTCGGATATGGCTCGGACACGATGCTTGCTTTAGATGTATCCGCTTGCTAATCACGGATACAGATATGTCTTGGTAAGAAAAAATGTATATCCATATCCGCTAAAATCAGATATGGTACGGAAATACACGCGGATATACACGAGGATACAAAATGGATATGAGAAAACTAGATAATATTGAAAAAATATATAGTTCATATGATACAAGAGAGTTCATTAGTATGTTCGTTATATCGACAAAGCGAAGATTAGATCTCTTGATCTTCAAAATTAACCTCAATTCCATTAATCTGATTAAAATTGCTACGGTTATTGCTACAACCGTATGACCAACATATATTCGAATATTTCGGATACGAATCAGGATGTTTCGCTATATATCCATATCTGTAATCATATCCTATCAGATATAAATTTTAGTAACCATCACGAATTGGCTACATATATTTTTGTGCACCCCAAATACAACTTCTTACTGATGGAAATGGGAGAACCTAATATCAGAACCATCAGCAATAAGAAATACTTAAATAACGTCAAATAACTTAAAAGTTCATTTCAAAAGGACTTTGTGATTGAAAAAATGAATATTGTATTTTAAAAGTAAGGGAGAGGCGTGCACGCCTATGCGAACACCAACACACACAAAGCACGCGCACACGTGTTACGTGTACACACCCACGCACGCATGCACGGATGCACACAATCATGCAAACATACACACAGATGCCTTTGCATGTGTGTACATACATACATGTATACATATATATGGAGCTATTAGATATGAGTTGCTAACTCATTCAGCAAATGAGCTACATTTATTGGCTGAGTTGCCAACTCATTTCGTAAAATGAGCTGCCAAGAGATATAAGTAGTCAGGTCCACATCACCTAATGTGACTCATAGGGTGGACCTCATCGCATATCTATCCCTTGATAGATCATTTAGCAAAATAAGTTGCCCGTTCTTTTCAAAAATGAGTGTACGTGCTCAAAAATCCCCAGCCGCGCTGACAACTATGTCTCTCTTCATGCATGCTTGAAAGAATCCTCATTCTTTGCATGAAAAATCAAGCCTTCTCATCTCACTTTCACCTATTTTAGAAAGCAAGGACATATCAAATACTGGTATTTCTAAAGGCGAGGCAGAACATCTTTGATTGATCTTTATGTTTCTCTCTGGAATATATGTAGGGTCATTTCTCACAATCCCTTAAACATTATCTATAGGAATAGATTTCCCAAAACTAGCACTTTTTTCTCTGCCTAATGCCATGCTCGTGTTATCAGGTTCAACGACCATTTATTCTCTCCGGAACAAGCTTCTGGTCACCTCTTTATCAAAGACAGGATGCAGTGGGAGATTAAATTTCATGCAGAATCTACCATAAGGCCTGAAGAATCTACTACTAGGCCTGAAAAAAAATTCTCCCACATTGCGGCTGGAATTGTTTGAATGAAACAATAAGGAACTTTGACCTACAGGTTTTGATTTTCAGAAAGATCATTTTTCTGAAATCTTGAGAAGATACCTTGATCATTAGGTTCTTGACATCAATAAGCAACCTTGTTAGTATACTCTTGTGATTCCAGAAGAAATTTAATATACTTACGTCATAAGAAATGCCTTATATCCTCGGGAACACAATGTTCAAGCTCATTCTTCCTCAATTTGCATAATTTTTATAGTCCTCTTTAGTTGAAGCAACGGTGCAATATATCATAATATCATGAATGCAAGGGCAAAAGTCAAAACACAATATAGTCTTTCTTGTGCCTTCCAGGATTCTCTCATCAAGTTCACTTGATAGAAATGAGAGCTCGTGTGCTCCATTCAAGCAAGCTTAAGCTTTCCTTGGCCCTTGCCTTAACTGCAAAAGCCGTATGCCAATTTAAATAGAAAGTGGTGCCATTTGAGTCAATACATTGGTAGGATGAGCAAGTAAACAGAGCAGTAGCTTGCAAATTGTGGATCCATATCACGGTATGAGGTCTAGTGTGTATAAATCATAACTTCAAACCTGCATTTACTTCATTTTGGAAGTTGGGGAATAGGTACACTTGTAGATACCCTACTAGCTAGAAGATACTTATACCTAATCTTAGTTTCACTAGAAGTCCCATCTATGTAAAAGAGGTCCTAAAGTAAATAGCATTTATTACTCAGTAACACATAAGACAATATTGACCAAGATAGCGCACTACATGATTTTACAATAAATGGTTAGGGTTGTCCAAATGGGCTTTGGGCCAGGACCCAACCGGGCCCGAACCCGGCCCAGGTAAGGCCCGGAGAATCCGGGCCGGCCAGGCTCCGGGCTCGGGTCCAGGCCAAGGTGGTGAAGCCCGACCCGGTTTTTAATCATACATATATTATATATTTTTATTTTTATAAATAATTATAGTATGATATGGTCATTAATGTATACTTATATATATATTTTTAAGTGTATAATATTAATATATACTTGTATATGCTTACATATATATTTCTAATGTATACTATGTATAATTATAGTATTATTTGGTCATTAATATATACTTATATATACTTACATATAATATATAGCTATATACTAAGATGTAAGTATATACTAATCCATATATAAATATAATAAAATTAATCTAATTTTTTAATCAAATTTTAGCAAAAAATACAAAAATACAAAAAAAATTCGGGCCGGGCCAACCCGTTTGGACATCCCTATAAACGGTTGAAGTGTTGAAGTGGTGCATTTGCGCATTTGTGAAATCTCAAAAACTTCAAATTGACATTAATGACAGAACTAAGTGTAGGAGGGGATTCGGATGGGTAGAGATTCTCTATGTCCTTGGTTGTAGAGACCTCTACAGCTCGGCAATCACATCTCCTCACTTTGTGGACCCCTGTTAGATAAATTATATAAAAAGATCTTTTAATTGTGGGACACACTGAATGAGCCAATACTGTCAATCCACATAATCAATTGTATGGATTCTCTACAATCTAGGATGTAGAGAATCTGAACCAGATTCAGACAAGGAGAAATGCGGATGCCTTTTATTTTCATCAGCAAAGGTGGCTTTAGAAACATAGTGAAGAGGTGCCAAAAAGAGCTCCAACAGAGGATGGAAAAAAGAGAACTTTGAATGGAATCTCCATACAGTATTATGCAGACAGGGAACAATCAAAATGGGATCTCCATATTCTAAAATGAGACAACAAACTATACTTTTTATAAAGGTAATTTACAAAAAGACATCATGTTTGAGATCCTAAATAATTATAGAAGATGGTTAATATGTCACACTCAATGGTTGCTTTTGGTGATGGTGGTGGCTTGACAATCAGGGTAAAGACGCCATAACTTGTATCATTCATATTGATTGCTGATGCCTGAGAACCTTTCGTCCTGCTGCATTGTCGGTGAGTCTTCCATAACATTTTCAAACGCTTCAATCTGTTTGGCTTTTGTTGCTGCTGGTACTACTTTTGTTGCCTTGTTTGCCTAGTCTATCTTCTTCAGCACCCAAAAAAAACAGTATCCCTACTTTGTAATACCACAACTCCAAACAGGGTATGTAAAGTATATATAATAACTTACAAATACTAAACCTAATATAGCTAACATTTTGGAGAGAAGAGTCATGAAAAAGCTCTAAAGCTTTTATAGCTCAACACGCACATTTACCATTGGCCAAGATGTTAATATGAAGATTCTTAAAAAAAAACAACTTATACTAGTTTTCATGAAAAATAAAGAAAAAATAAAGAAAATAAAGAGACGAGAAAAAAATGTATTTGAAGAAAAAAATGTTTATTTGCACGAGATCAATATTGTTTTCATTCACGTGTTATGAGAATTAACCTATAATATTTTTATGTTTGTTTTATTATGTAGATTATAAATTGGAAAACCATTACTTTTGAACTAGACACCCAAACAGCCCTTTAAAATACTAGTTTGACACCCGATCTATGTCTAACGAGTATTAGGAAGGGGATGTGAAGTGTAGGATATGCGTCCAAGAAGTGTATGAGAAGTGTTTTAACTTAGAACATATAAAGCGTAAGTGACTACAAGCCCGAATAAATATGTTTACAAATGCAAGGAGTGTCCGCGAAGTTTGGGCACGGAGATGGTTACGTGTACATGTAGACTGTACAGTACGCATACATGTAGACTGTAGAGCACGGGACAGTTAGGAGTATCCAGGCAACATATTGCAAAACATTTGAGTTGCCAATCAGACTTCTAAATAATTGTTTCCTCATATGACATGAACCTTTTGAATCTAGGGATCCGCAAGGGAGATAAAACCTTGAATCAAGAATATGACATGACAGACATCTAAAATCTAGTGATGCTTCCATCATGCAAACAAATCTGGACCCTTTCTCGACCAATTAATTTGCATGATACTGAATGGACCATGAAACCTACTCACCTTGGATAGAAGTTCGTGTTGAGAATACCTTCCTCATGAATAAACATCTATGAACGTATAAATTCATGTATCTATCCATTATTTACTGATAAACTGATTTCTGTTTTCTTCTCAACTTAAGACAATCAGACTATAGATATATTACATTCATTTACCATAGTTGCAGACTAAAGTTTATGTCTGAGGTTACTATCAAATTCATAATCCTTGACTTTCTCCTTGCAAAACCAATTAAACTAGATTGACTTACTAAGCAGAAACATAAAGCATATTTTCTAGTTAGGCACCCAGGTCCAAAGGGAACAAATTGAAATATACAGCATATTTTCTAGTTAAGACAAACATAACATATTGTCTAGTTAGGAAGAAAAATATAGCATATTTTCTAGGTAGATGTACATACATGAACCTAACTAATTTCAATCATAAATGTGGTAGAAGGTAACTGTGTATGACATAAAATGTACTAATATAGACAACCGAGAGGAATGATGATGCGACAAAACTTAAGAGTCTGTAATGCGGAGTATCATTATGAAAAATTGCCTTTAACTGTAAATATATTTGGGTACATTAGTTTTCTCTTACTGCGAATGCACAATGATACAAGATTCCGCACCAAATAAACTTTATTGTGTTAAAACAAATTGAACTGACATTCAATATGAACAATTCTATTAGCATGCACAAATATGTCTCAAATTTAAGAAAAGGGAGTCAATAATGAAATAAGCTATGCAAGCCAATTAGCTCACGAAATTTGAGTGGCATGCCGAAGAGCCCTCGCTTTCATAGCCAAGGCGTTGCGCAGAATGATAGCCTTGTCGTCAGCATTAGAACAGTCCTCGACCTCCAAAGGTTGTCGTGCGGTGTGATCATCATCCCCAAATGAGATGTTGGGAGGGGGGGAAGATGAATGATCGACATCACCCCTCATCAGCAGCACATTGTGGAGCAAAGCGCAAGTGGCGATGCACGCGACGGCCATCCTCCGTCCTCGACCTCCAAAGGTTGTCGTGCGGTGTGATCATCATCCCCAAATGAGATGTTGGGAGGGGGGGAAGATGAATGATCGACATCACCCCTCATCAGCAGCACATTGTGGAGCAAAGCGCAAGTGGCGATGCACGCGACGGCCATCCTCCGTGTGATCATCATCCCCAAATGAGATGTTGGGAGGGGGGGAAGATGAATGATCGACATCACCCCTCATCAGCAGCACATTGTGGAGCAAAGCGCAAGTGGCGATGCACGCGACGGCCATCCTCC